ACTCCCGCGGCACTCGCGCAATTACGGCAATAATAATAATAACTGACTCCGGATCACACCGGGCTTGCCACACCCGAAGCACGCTAAGGAGTGGTGGTGTGAGAATTGCTGGGGGCGGTAGTTCAGTTTCGTAGGCTCCTTCCGGCATTCCTCTTGTGAATGTCCAGGATGTCTGCAGTAAGTGCACCTGGCTTTACGGGTGGTGGCTTCTGCAGTGTGTTTGGTCTGCTGTAAGTCTTTCGTAGTTCGTCTTGGAGCTCGGCGAAGGTATTGAAAGAAGGGCGCGGAATTTTCTTTCGTATATTTTGCTGCAACAGCCCATACACCATGTGCATTTGCATGCTCTCGCTGAGATCTTTCTTGATCCGAGCCAGCACCGCTCGCTTTTTCGCGATGAAGAGCTCGGTGGTGTCTCTTTCGCCTTGCTCTGTGGCGAAGATTTCTCGGAGGAGCTGCTTCACAGGTTTTTCGTAGATTCCAATCCTTAGAGGTCGTTCTTGTGTTATATGAGCACGCAACATTGTTTTGACTAAATTTTCATTATAGGGGCGTAACTTGCAGATTTCCAGATATAGAGTGAAATGAATTTTGTCTTACACTTAAAATTTTTAGTGACGAACGATGGGGTGACAGTCTCATTTATTTTGGTAAGTAGTAGCCCTGAAATTCTGTGTATTCGATTCTAGCTGCGATTTTCTTAATTCATGTGTGACAATAGTTTTCCAACCTCGATTCTCGCGGCCGCTTATAGGGAAAGGTGAAACCCGGCAATATGAATCACTGACCGATTTACGTGATTTTATTTATATTTATATACAGTATGTTCCCTTAGGGATGATAATCAATACAAGTATGCAGAACTACATTTTAATTTGTAATTGAATTTATTGCCGCACATTTCCCTTTTTTTAAGCATGAATATGTTCCTGTTTATTTACAGGGTGCTTCATCTGGGGGCGAGTGACGTACGTTAGGTGGTTGATTGTTACATATTGCACATGGCATTGAGAATCAATTACTTTATACTAATGTTTTGCCACGACATGTTCCTTTGTTTTGTTGTGATGGGATACTTAACACTATACTCCTTCTATGTATTTGAACCGGGTGATTATGATTATTAGTATTTGGCAGGGTGACTTGTTTCGAATATGTATTGTGCTATATTTGATACCGATAGACCGAGACTTTCTTATCTTTAAAATCAAATTCAATTGGCTGCGATCAAATCAGTCTGACAATGTGGAAATTATGCTTACCCTATTTGGCTTCGATCATAACGCACATCATTAACTGCTGTTTGAGTGAATCGACTTTTCCCAATGCTTGGAAGAACGCCATTGTGGTACCGCTACCTAAGATAAAGAATGCTCAAGATTTTAAGGACCTACGGCCAATTAGTATTCTTCCCTGCTTGTCAAAAGTTCTTGAAAAGATCATGGCTTCACAAATACAACACTTCTTAAACAGTGAGAAAATGTTACCTCCGATGCAGTCAGGTTTTCGTCCGGGGCATAGCTGTAATACGGCACTTGCATTTGTAACCGATACAATCTTATCTGCGATTGACAAAAATAACTTAACTATGCTGATATTATTAGATTATTCAAAAGCATTCGATAGAATTTCTCATAAATTGCTTACATCCATCCTTAATTACAATAGTTTCAGCACTTCGGCTGTGCACCTGATTGAAAGTTATATATCCAACCGCACTCAGTGTACTAGGCTTGATGGAAATGTGTCTACCTCTCTCTCTCTCTGTTATGGCGGGTGTACCACAGGGATCTGTCTTAGGACCATTGTTGTACATCATCTATACCAGCAAAATACAAGATTGTCTTAAACATTGTATGTATCACCTCTATGCGGATGACACGCAGTTATTCTATACATTTCCAGCTCATAAAATTGAGGATGCGAATAGCCTCATAAATTCTGATTTGCAAAGTTTAGTAAACACTTCTGAAATGCATGGTCTAAAACTTAATATTAACAAGTGCAGTGTCATGTTATTTGGTCGAAACAAAATCCGAAACAATAACATCTCGCAAGTTGCAATACAAATTAAAGACAGTTTGCTTCCTGTAGTGTACAGTGTCAGAAATCTAGGTGTTGTGGTAGATAATCAACTTCGTTTTAAAAGTCACGTGTCAGGACTCCTTCGAAAAGCCTATCTTAATCTAAAAATGATCTTTAATTTAAGGCATAGCCTCAATCGTAAGATTATATATCCAACCGCACTCAGTGTACTAGGCTTGATGGAAATGTGTCTACCTCTCTCTCTCTCTGTTATGGCGGGTGTACCACAGGGATCTGTCTTAGGACCATTGTTGTACATCATCTATACCAGCAAAATACAAGATTGTCTTAAACATTGTATGTATCACCTCTATGCGGATGACACGCAGTTATTCTATACATTTCCAGCTCATAAAATTGAGGATGCGAATAGCCTCATAAATTCTGATTTGCAAAGTTTAGTAAACACTTCTGAAATGCATGGTCTAAAACTTAATATTAACAAGTGCAGTGTCATGTTATTTGGTCGAAACAAAATCCGAAACAATAACATCTCGCAAGTTGCAATACAAATTAAAGACAGTTTGCTTCCTGTAGTGTACAGTGTCAGAAATCTAGGTGTTGTGGTAGATAATCAACTTCGTTTTAAAAGTCACGTGTCAGGACTCCTTCGAAAAGCCTATCTTAATCTAAAAATGATCTTTAATTTAAGGCATAGCCTCAATCGTAAGATTAAGGTAATGCTTTGCGAATCCTTAGTTCTATCACATTTTAATATATATACGGCCCATGCCTGGACGCAAGTGACGTCAAACGAGTGCAACGCATGCAAAACTCTTGTCTTAGGCTCATCTTTGGTCTAAAAAGATATGAGCATGTTAGTAATAAGTTAAGTGAGGTTAAATGGCTTAACATGTCAAATCGTAGAGTGTTACACGCAGCATGCCTCTTATACAACATCATTTCCACGAAAACACCAGATTACCTATACAGCAAAATTAAATTTAGGCATAATGTCAATATTAGAAACAAAAACTTCACTTCTTTACCAAGTCATAATACCAGTATTTTTCAAAGATGTTTCACTTACAATGCTTCAAAAATTTATAATTCCTATTACAACGTTTTCACTGATTCAAAGTTTTCTTCTCTAAAATCTTTTAAAAAAGCAATGTATACCTTACTTATGGATAGACAGCGGAGTACTTGAAACTGTTGAGTCACTTAAAGTTTGGCACAAACCCAAATTATGCAATTCTGCCATTTGTGGTCGAGTATTAAAAGCTCGATAGAATGGGGTTAAGTGGTAGAACAGACAGTGTGGTACCCTCTTGGGTGCCCACCAGTCTGAACTTTCGCCCCTTTGAGCTAACATGCTTTTTTTTTATTTTTTTTTTTATTCATTAGAATATGTAATATCATGTTTAGCTCAATAAATGCCTATTATTATTATTATTATTATTATTATTATATTTAATCTCGATTTGACGTAGCAGAGGCTGGCTAAAGTTCAGAACTGACATACGCAGAGATTATGTTTTATGTGCTGTTTTTTTTGTGTCTTAGTAAAGAGCTATCTTGCCGATATTGCTAATCAATTCGTTTAGTCGATTCCTAACATGTAGTGACCGAATATTGGTTTTATGTCAGTCGTTATTATGCCAGTCCAAATATGTCAATTGTCAAAGCCTACATAAATGGTATATATTTTGTTTATGATTATATGTATGCGTGCGAGTTTGCCGATAGTTGCTCTGTTATTTTTGTTATGTCATGATTTATCTTTTGATCGGTTACTGTCAGTACTCATGGTGGAGAGCCTGGAGTTCGGTCTTTTATAAACCGGCACTTTATAACTAGTGGGTTGGACTGGTACTAGACATGTGTGAATGAAAGAGTTGGGGTCCCGCTTAGTCGTACATGAGGGGGCTGGCTAAGCCCGGCCCCACTTGCACAGGGATTCGCTAAAAGCGTGCAGCGTGTTTTCGTTGTGACCTTTTGTTTTTGTTATCAATTGGGGTATCCTTCCTATGTGAAAGGCTCTTCTGAGAGGCCAACTCCTAGCGTTTTCATACAATACTGCCATGTCATGACCAGAGCAGCTGAAGATTACTCGGTGTGGGATTTGAACTGGCCGCATGCAATATCCAAACTTATTATGTGAATTTATTGTAATGTTTTAATGATTGTTTTTTTGTTATGTGTGTGAAATATTGATTCTTTAGGAATTCCAGTGGAGCCTGTGATTCGACATTATATAACTTTACTTGACAACCATCATAATACGCATTCATGCCACTACAGACAACTAATTTTGCTATAAGGTTCAATATTAATTTGTTGGCTGGTTTTTTTCTTGGTCGGTTCTTTTTTTCCCAGCATATTGTTATATTTGTACTCCGTGAACTACCATTTTCTAAATTTAATCTTGCAATGCGAATTACTTGGATTAAATCTCCGTTTTAAAGCATGTACTTGCTCTATTTGTATTCCTTACTTGATCCTTACTCTGACAAGCAACACATATCTTGTAGTGACCCTTAAAAACACAACGTAGTAAGTGGTTCGATTATTTTATTATTCAGGTTAGGTAGCTTTGTCTAGACGATCATGTGCCATGGGGTTCAGGTTCAGTTAGTTTGGAGGGAAAGTTTTAAATTTAAATCATGAGTTGCGCAGTCTCTCGGGGCTGGCCTGAGTACGTCACAATACAGACAGCTTTTTTAAAAGAATACATAATTTCCCTCGTAATTTCCCTATGTGGATCACACTAATAAAGCATGACATAGATCGTATTTTAGAGAGCTTAAAGACAAGCCGAGGAACCGCTACTGAACAATATAGGTACCTACCACCCAGATTGGATAATTGTTTTACTCTAATCTCTGAATTAAGCACGAACACACAAATAAAACGTTTAATAAATCAATTTTAAACAATAAACAAAAGAGTTGATAATAATCAAACTCGTGGGCCGCCGAAAGCGCTTGATGATTTGCGTGTTAGAAAACAGTAAACGGTCATTATCTTCAATTAGTTAAAAATTATCACATTTTTCCAAGGTTTTTATTGCAGTCGTTGAACTATATAATTTATTTATTCATTTCGACCATCAATCACGCCTTTTGTGAGAGCTGGCCCACAAATATACGTTGGTGCGTTCAATGGAAAATCAACTCCCTACAAAATTGCTGTGTAAAGACAATACGGGTTTAAAAAAAAGGTTTACGAATATCAACCAGAAAGATTTTAATTTGGATAAAACGACTCTGATGGTTATTACGGAATTATAATTGAATGGATAAGTAAAGGCGAGGATGGACCTTTGTGCTTGTACAGTTTAGATGAGCGTAGCGGAGGTTTTTAGGTTTGAGGATATGCGTGAATTTTTTGATACGCAAAAAATGACAAACGTGAGAAGCTGGAAAAGTAAATCCATGCGATCAAAGGTTGCCCATCTCATGCAGTTCCGTTTCCTTTACCGATTAACAAATTTTTGTCAATCTGACTTCCGTGTTGTGAAAAGTAGGAACCGGTTTACTAAAAAAAAAACTACGGCTAAAATGCCCACGTGCAATAATTTGGAAATTAGATTTAGGTACCTACGCCAGGAATGATCCGTTTAGGAAGTGCCTACGTGGGTGGAACTTTCATTCATGGGTAAAGTACTAATTATACGTGTGCTAATAAATACAAATATTGTACATTATTTATTGGTAGCCTAAAACAATAACATACCAATTACAGCTCAAGGATAGAATTCGCGTTAATAGAATTTGACGGATAGAGCGCTGCAAATGTAGGTTACATCATTAATCGCAATTTAGAGATGAATAGCCAATCCTTTTAATCTTGCAAGAATCGGTCGCACCCGTTCCGAATTATATTTAGCGAATGGCACTGGTGTTGCATCCTCGCAAAGCAAAGGCGCCCGCCCGAAACGAAAGGGAAAGATGTTGTCCGACAACTTTTTTCGTGTAAGTTATCAAAAAAGTGCTACTTTTTATTTGGGTTTATTTTTACACACGAGCTGACGTTAAAAGCAAGTAAAAACCTATATTTCACGGGATATTTTCGTTCGTACTGTTTCCACCGCTCAAACGCACGTGTGCAAACTAAATTTATGTCTGAAGACAACTGAAAGTGTATAGGTAGGTAAATGCAGAAACATCTTTTGCTGAATAGCGTTTTCGTAACAATTACAATTTAAATGCGGACGAGCGCAACTTACCAACTTCTTCCCTGTTCTTTATGAGTCGCAACACTAAACCCAAACATGGACCGATTTTGTCCCTTGTGTTGTACATAATTGAAGGTATCGATGTTAAAACTAGTCACTAATAATACATTTGACACTATCACAAAAACACTAGAAATTAGCACTCCGCACCTACACATTTTGAATTAATTTAGCTACGAACGAAAGTGAAAATTAGGTAAGCGCACATAAATAATAAGGACGACTACTCATAAATTCAAATAGCTGCCGAGAAGCTTTCGTTTTCGTGTATAAAATCGATTATTATAAACTAATTATAAAATAATTGTGGCAGTGATAAGCAACGCATTTTGAATTTTTCTCGCGCTCTTTGCGTTGCGTGCCGTATGTTGGACCGCGACTGACAATTCGTCCTTTTGAAGTTGTGGGCGCCAAAGTTAACGAAGTAGAAAGGAAAGACGTACGGCGCGCTATCTTTAGAAATATAACAGTTTAAATGAGTACTTTTCCGACATCTTTTAGAAAAATCCCGCAGTACAATAGTCGGTATAGAAGCCCCCTTTAAGTTTCTCACCGTTACCATTATTTGTTGTTACGAATGAGGTTTCTCATACTAGAGGGCGCACAGAACAAGATAATTCTCACAGAGTTGTTATGTATACTGGGTAGTGACTTGCGTAACGCATCATAGGGATTTCAATGTAAAATTCATAACATGCGAATATTGCCTCCACAAATTATTTTAGAGCAAAAATGTTTTAAGGTTTTTTGTAGAAAAAAATTTTTTACGTCAATCAACCGTATTAGTTTTCAATTTTTTGCATAATAAAGACGGAAAATTCGAAAAATAAAACCCCCGCATCTTTTTCAATAATCTGTGATACCATGGAATTTTATAATACAAAAACTACCCCAATATCCGTCATGCCATGGAATGTCTGCTATAAAACAAATGAAATTCTATCAAAAAGTATTATATTTAGAACAGCGAATTCAACATAAAGAAAGACCAAATTACTAAAAACGGTTTTCTAATATAACAATTTACAATAAATGTTCGAATAAGTCACCATTAACTGCAAGACAGTAATCAAGTTGAACATAAAATCAATTTCGAACTGCTGCTAATTGATAACTGGATATCATTTTGTTTTAGAAAATTCCATAGCATCACAGATTATTGAAAAAAGATCCGGGTTTTATTTTTCCAATTTTCCGTCTTTATATGAAAAAAATTGAAAACTAATACGGTTGATTGGCGAAAAAAATTTTTTTCGACAAAAAACTTTAATACATTTTTACTCTAAAATAATTTGGGGAGCTAATAATCACATGTTATGAATTTTACATTGAAATCCCTATGATGCGAATGGTTTTACTTAAAAAGTCACCCCGAAAGATACCCGGGGCGGGGTGCTCAGGCTTTCCTGGCCCTCCCAGCCAAAGTTAAGGATGGGAACGGAAGGAACGGAGTTACGGTGCTGAGAGGGAAGAGGTTCTGAAAACACAATATTTGGGGTAGACTACCTACTGGGACATAGGTAAGCCCATGTGTGATGTGAGTAGGTGTTGCCTTCCCTACCGATTCAGCGGCTAACTAGCCGATAATTTGAGCCCAGCGACGTCGGAAGTATAGGTCAGAAGGGGCGACTCGCTCTCTCAATTTAATTTTTACACACGAGGGATAAATTAAAAAAAAAAGTAAAAATTAAATACAGTAAATGGTCCGAGGTCCGCGGACCATAAAAATAGAGACGGTACGTCACGTAAAAGAATTTGTATGATACAGGCGCGGATTTTAAGGGGGGGGGGGGCGCAAAAGGCGCGCGCCCCCTCCTGCTCCTAGACACTCCTAGACAGTGGTAGTTACGCAGGCGGTCACCTAGTGACTATTGGAAAAGAGTTGTATAATTATTCCAATTCTTAATCATGTAATAACTGACTTAGTGAAAAAAATTATTAAATTTAAACATAAATATTAATACCTAATGCTCGTCTGGTAGTTGCAGTTGATAACATTTTAATTGATAAAAGAGTACGGATAATCCGCCGTTAGCACAACTTTTGGGTGAAGTGCAGCTATTAGCACAACTTTTGGGTGAAGTGCAGCTATACACTGTGTCCCAGATGAGAATTTCAGAAACCATAGAAGATGGTGAAAGGCAAGAAATTTGTTGATTTCGTTTTTATTTTTTTCTGATGTTATTTGAGCGGATACAAAAAAAAACATTTTCTCATTGTCACTTATTAAATTTTACCAGAGACGTTGAGACGTTTCATTTCGGAGAAATCATTATCAACTTTATTTTTTTATATGGCCCGTAAAAAAAGTAGATACTATACTGAGTAGCATTTTTTCCTACGAATAAAATGATGTACGGCACGCAAAAGAAAACAAAAGTTGGAAACTGTTGGTTTCAGCAAGATGGTGCACCTGCGCACAATTGTATAAGGATACCTAAATGGTTTTTCAATAGGGACGCTCAACTTTGAAAGCGCATAGCAGCCATCTTGGTAAAGCGATAGCTGTCAAATGTGGCAAAAGTACGTATTTAGTACTGTCATTTCACCATGGAACGCTACACGCTTCAACAACGCGTAGAAATTGTTAAAATTGATTATCAAAATCAGTGCTGCGTTCGCCTAGCGTTCCGTGCGTTGTGTCCAATTTATGGCGTTCAAGGCCTTCCTGCAGAGTCCACAATCCGTTTTTTAATAAAAATTTGAGACAACGGGATCAGTGATTGACGAAGCAGCGCCTGTACGTCAAAGAAACGCAAGATCGTTGGAGAATATTATTGCCGTTCAGGACAGTGTGCGAGAAAACACCAAACAGTTCATTCTGTGTAGTGCGCAAGAAAGACCCCTTTCTGCGACATCAACTTTGGCGGATTTTGCGTCGAGACTTGGGTTTTCATCCATATAATTTATAAAGTTCAGTTCCCTAGTCTATGCAGACAAACCACACTCAATTGCTGCCCTAAAGGTCACGCATAACTCGCGTTCTTCGTAAAATTGAGCCCAGTTTAAGCGAAGATGTCCAAAATTTGTCCACCAGAATTCAACATCTACAGCGGTGTCGCGGGAGCCATTTGGCTGAAATTATTTTCCTTACATAGTGTCATCGAATATCCTTTAAAATATTATCAAAATTGTGGTAATACGAGTATCACTTAAACAGGTTGCTTTATTTCATTTCAAAGTTCGAGCACTCTTAATGAAAAACCCTTTATATTTGACAAATTTCGTGGAAAGTGGAAAAAAATCGATTTGCGCCGACAAAGAGAAAACTCGCGACTTTGCCATTTAGCCTTTTTCTGGGTTTTTCTTTTCTTAGTTTATGAAGAATTAGTTATTTGTTCAATATATTACGTATTATGCCAAAATGTTCTATTTTTAAACGTATAATAAATGTTTTTTTTTAAAACGTATGCGCCCCTCCCTAGACCAAATGTGTTTTTTTAAATGTGTCGGTTTGTTTTAATATGTTATACATTTTGTAATTTTAGTATTTGTGCTAAGTATATTGTTTGCATGTATTAGGGACATGGTGTTGCCACCTACTATAAGGTAAAGCAACAACGAATAACTAAATGAAATGAAATGAAATCCTAAATCCGCCACTGTATATGATATGATTGTTTATGGTGTCTAAGAAACGAATGCTATTCTTTCCGGATATTAACCCGGGACCCCCACTTGTCTTCTTTACAATGTTCAATAGTGCAATAAATAGGAACCACATTTTTGTAATAATGTTAAATAAATATTACTGATCTATTGCTATGGTTTGGAGTACATCACATGCACATTTGATTACCGCGTGTGTTTGATTCAAAGATGTTAAGTTGTTTTTCTGAGGCCACATGCAATTTGATCAAAACATCTCAAAATCGTTAATTATTCATAGACCAAGATCTCAATACCCAATACATGGATTTTAGTGCATTTTTGGCGACTACATGGAAATAAAATTTAAAAAAATTTAAAAAAATGATAACAATATTCGATCCACAACCAACTTCCGTAACTTTCTAGCGTAGTAATCAATGACTATTTTTGCCCCTTCAGAGTTATACTCGAATACTCTCACTTTTAATTAACTTGTTACATTTAGTATTCGTTATTTATTATCTTGCGACCTCTATAAAGTTATGATCGAGTTTTCTCACGTATTAGGGAATGCAATACCGGGATCGCGGGATGCCGAAATACCGGGATCGCGCAACATTTTTGCGGGATTAATCCCGCACATAAATGGAGCGGGATCCCGCAGGATTTGCGGGACTGAGGAATTTGTCGACCAAGGGGACGACTCTGTTTACTTTGTTAATGAAACGCATAACGGAGAAGTTATTTTTTAAATAATTGTTAAACTTTTTTCGTTGAAAATGTACTATGATTTTTGGGGCACTTTAGAAGTTCACCTTTTTTTGTGCTTTACAGGCGACGTTTTTTTAAACTCTAAGTTAGACTGAAGGTACTTTTTTGTTAAATGTTTTGATAATTAGCGATTTATTTTAATACAGAAGTTCACTGCACAGAATTGCTTATTTGCCAATTTATTTAAAGTTCATGTATGTTATTGTAGACGGCCACTTCCTTCCGAAGCCTTGGCTAATAATGGTATCTTATATAAGTCTATTACTACTAGGGTGAGGTCCTTCAGTTCTTGGATTCCGAGCTCTGCAGCTTGGGAGTTTTCTTTTGTTTGCAGATTTTATGGAAATCCGGAAACTGAGCTCACTTCTCTGGGTGCCGTCTCATTTTAAATGAATTTAAATGAATTTTTTATGTTTTACTTGTATTTGGTCATATATGTACGCATTTCTTCCCGGAGCATCAATTTATTTGGGAAGACATGTGTTACAATTCAGTGATTAATTCAATCGATTGGGGGTTAATTAAACTGGATATATTTTAAATTGTGAAGTAACGTTACTAAAATTTTTGTGTGTGACGTAACTTATAATTTTGATACCGTCGTATCTTCTCAATTTCATACGGAGAGTGGTGAGCTAGAAATTGAGTAGCGCTCAACCTAAGTGCAACGACGATTCCGAAGATCATTTTACCCAGAACGAACTACCGCTGTGCAAGTTACTTAAGCTCTTATTTTGTGTTTAAGCCTGAGCTAGTTAGCCGTTTATGCGGTGGGTTTGGGAGAATGCAGCGCCAACTCAACACCCGATAGGCCGATACCACCTACAAACCTATAACCCATAAATACATAAACCTGTACACCTATAAACATACGACTTTTTCGTGTAAATGACCTTTCGATTTAAAAAAATTCGTATAATTCGGGGAAGGGTTGCTTGTAAGCATAGCCCCTTATTGTTTCTTTGGACTTTTTGGCGGCCATCTCTGATCCGCGAGGCAACTAGAAGGAGTGGAGTGACGGCGAGATTAT